GTTGCCAGTAATTTACTGTAAAAATGCACTAAAACTCAAGTTAATTAAAAATACAACTTATTAGTTTTAGTGCATTTTTACAACACTGTTGTCAGTAATTTACTGTAAAAATGCACTAAAACTCAAGTTAACTAAAAAAATACAACTTATTAGTTTTAGTGCATTTTTACAACACTGTTGCCAGTAATTTACTGTAAAAATGCACTAAAACTCAAGTTAACTAAAAAATACAACTTATTAGTTTTAGTGCATTTTTACAACACTGTTGCCAGTAATTTACTGTAAAAATGCACTAAAACTCAAGTTAATTAAAAAATACAACTTATTCGTTTTAATGCATTTTTACAACACTGTTGCCAGTAATTTACTGTAAAAATGCACTAAAACTCAAGTTAATTAAAAATACAACTTATTAGTTTTAGTGCATTTTTACAACACTGTTGCCAGTAATTTACTGTAAAAATGCACTAAAACTCAAGTTAACTAAAAAATACAACTTATTAGTTTTAGTGCATTTTTACAACACTGTTGCCAGTAATTTACTGTAAAAATGCACTAAAACTCAAATTAACTAAAAAATACAACTTATTAGTTTTAGTGCATTTTTACAACACTGTTGCCAGTAATTTACTGTAAAAATGCACTAAAACGCAAGTTAACTAAAAAATACAACTTATTAGTTTTAGTGCATTTTTACAGTAAATTACTGGCAACAGTGTTTCCAGTATTTTACTGTAAAAAACCTGGTAAGGTCTAACAGTGTAGATGTTCCCCCGAGAAACTTAACGTTCGCTCGCAAAACCGAACACAAAGTTTCTTGACGGAGTGCAAATGTTTTTTGCGAGGGAACGCAAAGTTTCTCGGGGAACACAAAAAATTTGCAAGAGGATTCAAAAAGCAGAGAATTTCACTTTTCTCTTTTCATTCATCATGTCCCTTAAGGCCTCCTCAATTATAAGTGCATTACTGTAAATGCGATTTATGCTTGTTTTGAGGGGTGACTTTTTTCCGTGTTGATTTTACCACATATGTTATCCATGACTTTTTAGGCTTGTACTGAACTCCGAAATTTCCTTTAAAAGAGTTGAAAATATCTTTACAAACAGTCTGAAAACAAGCAGGCCTTGTAAGATGATGAATACCCTCAATTTGATTCAGTTCATATCCCATGACACTCATCTAAATGTCAGAAGTCTGGAATCCGTACATGTGAATCTCTCTCTCTCTCTCTCTCTCTCTCTCTCTCTCTCGCAGTGGTCAGCTGCTCTCAGCTCTAGTTTACATGTTCTCGCTCCCAGTGTGAAAAGGTTTTAGGGGGCTTAATCAGTGGGACTTTGATGTCGACTGCGGCTGTAATGATTTCATATTGTTCCAGGGATTTCTCTAATCCACTACACTTTCATTAAAATCCATCTCTCCATCCTGACTTCTTCTGAGGCGTCGGACAGAATCAGCCTCCTTTCCTTCATCTGTCACTCTCTTTTTTACATTCCTTCATTCCTTCGTTCACTGCAATGTTCATTGGGAAGTTATAACTGTAGATGCTAATTCAATTTGAGATTTTAGTCATTCCATGCAAAGCTTTAATTTGTAAATTATGAGGTTCAGAAATAAGAACTGGTGACAGATATGGCAGGTTGGAAGGGTCACGAAACAAACAAAAAAAGTTTGGTCGGACACACTAAAACTTCATCACTCCCATCAACAAAATAAATGGTGGTTGCAATTCAACTTCTGACATGAGGGTCTAGTTGTGATTGTGGAAATTCAAATTGTTGTATTAAAAAAAAAAAAAAAAAAAACTCATCTAAGATATCATCCAAGATGTCCATATCTTTCTTTCTTCAGTCCAAAACAAATTAAGGTTTTTGATGAAAACATTCCAGGATTTTCTCCATATAATGGACTCCAATGGGGTCCAAACGGTTCAAGGTCCAAATGAGAGTTTCAGTGCAGCTTCAAAGGGCTTTAAACGACACCAGACGATGAATAAGGGTCTTATCAAGCGAAACGATCGCTCATTTAAAAAATAAATAACAAAGTTTAAGTTTTATAAGCTCAAATGCTCGCCTTGCTCTGTTCTGTTCTGAGCGTTCGTGACTCTCCTGTTCGAACTCGTTCATCAAAATGAACAAATCTTTTTTTGAGTCATGACTCGAAGGGTCCTTGATAAGACCCTTATTCATCGTCTGGAATCGTTTAAAGCCCCTTGAAGCTGCACTGAAACTCTTTTTTGGACCTTGTACCGTTTGGACCCCATTGAAGTCCATTATATGGAGAAAATCCTGGAATGTTTTCATCAAAAACCTTAATTTGTCTTCGACTGAAGAAAGAAAGACGTGGACATCTTGGATGTCCTACTCCTTTAACGATCCACATCCTTAAAATGAATCTAACACATTCCTTTTCGTGAAACCCTCAGTTTTCTCTAGTCTGCAAGTACCGTTTGTCTTGGTGTGTCATGACACTTGCTTGCAGTAGAAATTGAGTGTGTTGTGCATTGAAAAAAGCATTACAGTAATGGTTTTCTATTATGCACTGGGGTAAATGAATATGCAAACAAGACTATTGTGCTTCTGTAGCAAGAAAGATTCCCTCTATGAAAAAAAAAAAAAAAACTAGTGAAATGCAAGAAATGGTGTACTCTGTTCTATGATTAACCAAATACTGCATTGCAACGTTTTGTTTGACATTTTTATGGTGATATGGTGACTTTACAACATTATAATCAATTTTTTTCTGCATGAAAAATTTACAACCATTCGAAAGCCGGTCTATAAATTAATTCATATTTTTATTCAGCAAGGACACATTAAATTGATCAAAAGTCAATTATAAAGGTATAAAGACTTAGATTTAAAGTAATAAATGATGATCTTTTAAACTTTCTATTCAAAGAAAAAAAAAATGTAAGCAGCAAAAATGAATGCCAGTATAACACAAATTAAACATCAATCCTGGATATCATGCGTCTATTGGCTTGGCATACCGAGGCTCAAACTGTTCTGAGAAGACAAAAGCACTCTTTGCTGATCAGATAAGAAAACACAGTGCCTCATTACTGTTAGAATGAATATGTAACCCAACTAATTATATTTATTCAAAGGATGGAGGGAGAGAAAGAGAAATCCAGCGATAGAGACCGCAACAAAGAGCATGAATATCAGAATGCGGTGATATTATCTCATCAAGACCTGATTACAAAGACCCGTGATCGTATATAAAGATAAAAGACAAGTCAGCTCAGCTTGGCTCTGGCACTAGTGAATATTTTGTAAATCTAGTGTGAACACGCAAGATAAAGCACCTCCTAAAATGGCATTATTACATTATCAGATTTCATGCTTTTAAAGAGGACAAGGCTTATTACAGTACAGCATTTGGCTGTATTCTGTCTTACACTGTTGTCTCTGTGCTACACTCTTAGAAGAAATGGTTCTATTTAGAACCAGAAATGGTTCCATCCCCCGCTTCATATATGGAACTCCAAAATGGTTCTATAGAACCTTTTTTTTTTTTTGGTAAAAGGTTCTATTGGCCAAGTATGGAACCCCAGGGTTCTATATAGAACCCAGAGGAACCATTTTTTTAAGAGTGTATAGAACCTTTTAGGGGTTCCAAATACTTAGCGCTGATAGAACCTTTTAACGTTCTATATAGAACCTTTTCTTCTAAGAGTGTATTGTGGCATATAAACATACATGCATGCATACTACAATTCGAAATACTTCACTATGCATTCTCTTCCACAAAAAATAAAAGGCTGTTTACAGTGTTTATCACAAAGTACAAGCAGTGTGCAAGTCTTCCATTCTGAATGTATGACGCCATCTATGACCACAGATGCTTCTGATTTTGGTACTTTCTGAGCCAAATGTCAATGCATATGACTTATAATCTGTATAAACCTACCTATTTTATCATATTCTGTTGTGTTCATATTCTACACTTTTAAAAAGTGTACTTTGTAACAATGTCAAATTATAACTGTAAAGAATTGTTTTAATAATCTTTTGCCATGCTTTAAAGCAGTACACTTATTTTGATGTGTTGACTAACATGAAGCACATGTAAAGTGATTAAATATTTAAATATTAAATATTTAATTTAAATATTTGATTTAATTAGAACTTAAACTGTAGTGTGTTATTTAATATTTAAAGATGATATGCTTTAAATGTACTAAATTGCAACTTCATTAATACAAATAATTGTGTAATTACAAATATATTTTAATACATAACATGCATGATGAAATTATATTTTAGCTAACCATAAATGCTTAGTACATTAAAGTAAACAGGAGTAATTATAAAATTACATATAGACTCTAAAGTTCAACTAATGGCACTTAATATACATTTAATATATTTTTATCTAATTGTAAATTTAAGTGTCCGAAAACAGCCCGTTCTCATCCAAAGATGTAATGTAACTGACGCTTTTGACCATACGTCAACATCCGACGTTTTAGGGTACCCTTTAACCCTTTATCTAACCCTAACCCTACCCCAGACCTAAACCTGGGCTATAATGTTTGTGTTGTCTTGTTTTTATTGTTATTTATGCGTTTGTTTGTAATATCAATGCATGTTTTTACCTACGTGTACTGTTGATTCATTGAATCAATGACTGTTTGATATTTCTTTTTATTTGTTTGTTTTTGTTACCGGCCTGGGGACTGCAGATGAAAAGTAGTATTTGTTTACTAATTCTGGCATATTTACATGTTGCATCCTACAACAATGTCCATTAATATGCATGGTCCCTATCAAATAAACTATAAAATAAAAATAAATAAATAAATAAATCTACCCACTGAAAGCGCTAAAGAATGTGTTGCTGAAAACCACACATTTAGTGTGCACTTAAGCATATTCTTTTAAGTATATTATTTCCATAATAAGGACTATTTTTATAAGTATCCTTCACATTTCACGAGAGAATGTTGCATTGTAGAAACGTAAGAGGGCTGAGACGTGATTGGACAGCTGACTTACTTGGCCCGTCCCATTCCTCCGCTGTCAGTGGGCTGGACTGGACTCTCTCTTCTTGTCCATCACTGTCTTGTTGTTCTACCTTTAAACTCTCGCCCATTTCACCTGTAAAAAAGACATCAGGGCTTAGCTGTATGTGAACAAACGGCTAAATCGTAGCACAATCACTAAACCGGACGGAGACGGCCGATCTGGCTCTCGCGCCGGCAGCAGCTGTTCGTTTTCTTTCATTTAAAACCCTTATTCCTTGTAATTCCAATGTGCATTTTCTCATTTTGGATTCTTTCAAGTGTCTGCTGTGGGATTTTATGCTCATTTCTTTGGAGAGAATTGAAAAGCGACAGAGAGCAAGTCCCTGGACCCACCTTGATCACAGACTCGCTGCCTGTGTTAAGCCCTGTGACGAAACTTATTGGAAATGTTTAATTACAGTGTTGGGAAAGAAATTAAGCTACAAGATGATTCCTTAATTAAGCTGTGATTAAGGATTTTCTGCCTTTGGCTCTGACACCACGGGCAAAGTACTATTTAACACCGTCACAGGCAAGAGAAGTTAACTCCAAGAACAGGCCTATTTACCTCAGATCCTCACACACACACACACACACAGAGGGAATCAGTCCATGTCCTCAGCAAGACAGGAATGGATAAAACGTTATGATCTTAAAACTCAGCCAAGTATTAAACCTTCTTGAGGAGACAAGACAGCCACTTAAAGGGATAGTTCACTTTGAAATTAATTTTTGATATGTTTTATCTTACCTCAAGGGCATCCAAGATGTAGGTGTCTTTGTTTCCACAGTATTTTCAATTTTGATATTTTTAGATCAAACCGTTCGTGTCTGTCAGTCATATAATTGAGGTCTATGGTCACCACCTTAAAGAGCATGCACAGAGAAGTCCAAATTAAACATGATTTAATGACTCGTAAATGTAAGTACACATTGATGGCCTAAGACACGAAACGAGCGGTTTGTGTGAAAAAAACGAACAGTATTTATATCATTTTTACCTCTTGTAGTCACAGCCACGTCCAAGTGATCTGCTTTGTGGCTGTGGTTACAAGAGGTAAAAACGATATACTGTTCGTTTTCTCACACAAACCGCTCGTTTTGTGTTTCAGGCCATCAATGTGTACTTACATTCATGAGTTATTGAATTTAGACTTCTCTGTGCATGCTCTTTGAGGTGGTGACCATAGACCTCCATTATATGACTGACAGACAAGAACGGTTTGACCTAAAAATATCCAAATTGAAAATACTGTGGAAACAAAGACACCTACATCTTGGATGCCCTTGAGGTAAGATAAAACATATCAAAAATTAATTTCAAAGTGAATTATCCCTTTAAAAGCTGGTGTGAGTTCAGATAAGGGGGTTTTAATGTATTTAGACAAATTAAAAGTAAAAAAAATAGCAATTATTAACAAAAACTATCACTCTTAGAAAAAAGGGTTCTATATATATGCAGCATAGGGTTCTTTACTCAACTGCAAAGAACCTTTTATGCAAATAAATGATGATAATGAACTGAAAGAACACTTTTGGCACAGAGGTTCTTTATAGGCTATTATTCAGTCATATATTACATTATTCTGCAACATTTTGGAGTTGTAATTAAATTATTGTTTATTAAACTATTGTAGTAACTTAGTATCACATTTTAATCATGCTGATTTTTGGAGGATAAAAACTAAAATTGCACTTTTCATGTGATATTGATTAATTAACATTTTTTAACCCCCATATCTTGAATTTTGTGATCATTCACATGCATTGCATTTTAGGGGTTCCAAATATGTAGCGCTTTAGAACCTTTTAAGGTTCTATATAGAACCTTTTCTTCTAAGAGTGTATGGTTAAAATAAGAGCCAACGGGATTTTTGGAAATAGAAGAGGTGCACACCTAAACTGGAAAACATGAAATTTCTATTTTTGACATTTTCATAACTGTTGATTGTTCTATTATAGAACTTAGCACGTGTAATGAACTGAACTGACGTTTTTGCATATTTATTTATTGGTGCTCGAGTAATTAATATGCATTCCTGCAGTCCTGAGGAAATCACACACGCTAAATCTGAATTTCATCAGGTATAGGTGTCATGATCTATACTTTTACTTTTGACATCTCCATTATACGGTTCACAGATTCAAAAAACAATTATGTGATCAAGTTTGGAAGGATCGAGAAAACAATAAATATTCAAAAATGTCAATTGAAAATGAAAAAGAAATGAAAAAGAATTGCCCCTCTTCCTTTTCAACAAGAACAAAAGGAAAACCGCCACACATCGTTCAGCCAATTTTTCCAGCAAAAAAAAAAAAAAGCGAAAGTGATTGTTCTTTTGAAGATTGCATGCTCGAAGGCAAAGCAGGTAGTTTACGCAGTTCACTTTGCCGTCGCAAACTTTTGGACGTTGGGGATAGCGAGACAGGCATTTCAAAGAGAAGATTCATCATTTACAAATAGAAAAGCATAACGTTAGGACGCTGAGTGAATTTCAAATGTCTCGGGGGGTCTCTGAATTATCCCGTTGTGACGGTGAGGTGTGGCCCGCAGAAACGCCTGTAATTGAATTTCAGTTCAAAGAGATGATGCTATTAGCTGGAGTTTGATGGTGGAAGCCTGCAGCAAATACCAGCAACTCTGTTGTTATTTACTATGACCAATAACCCTGTTAGTAACATATACAGTAGGTCTTCCCTCAAAATGCCAGATTTCTTCTCTTTCAATCTTCTCTTTCATATTCAAATTCAATTTCAGCACAAAACCAAACATTGCTTTGAGCTAAAGGGGAGGTGCGCAAATATTGTGTGTTCTAAAAAAGCTCTGATACTTCTAACATTTAACAGAGGATTGTGGAATACAATGTGAAATATATACCCCTCTATTGGATTATAGTAGAGATGTGTATGTTTATGTATAAAAACAAGCAAATTAATTATCCACACAATTTATTGGAACTATATGTGTAGTGTATTGTAGCAGACTTCCAATCAGATACATACAACGTATCACCACAAAAGTTTCCTTGTTACAGTAAATTGAAACTAACCCTAAACCAAACCCTCATCCTAACCCTTGCCCTATAATAAGGATGTAGTTAATTGTAGAAGTGTAACCAGATATAGCTGAGCTATTAAAAGCAAGCTCTGGGCAAAGTCTCTTTGTAATGGGAAATGAGCTCACCATTCTTTAAGTGATCTCCGTCTTTAGAGATGATGTTCTCTGGGTCAGAGAGGTCGTCTTCTTTCGATATCTCCTTCTCACACACTTTCTCTTCAGACTCTGTCTCAAGCCCATTTTCAAGCATTCCTGTCAAATAATGGACAAACAAATGTGCAACTTTAACACCTTTGTCCTAAATTCCATGTTAATCGCATGAAATGAAAATGTATTGTGGTTTAAATTTATATTAAATGCAATTTTACTTAACGAAGTAGTTCACTTTTTAAAAAAAAAAACTTTTGCTGATAATTTACTCACCCCCACGTCATCCAAGATGTCCACGTCTTTCTTTCTTCAGTCGAAAAGAAATTAAGGTGTTTGATGAAAACATTCCAGGATTTTCTCCATATAATGGACTTCAATGGGGTCCAAACGGTTCAAGGTCCAAATGAGAGTTTCAGTGCAGCTTCAAAGGGCTTTAAACGATTCCAGACGATGAATAAGGGTCTTATCTAGGACCCAAAAGATTTGTTCATTTTGATGAACGAGTTCGAACAGGAGAGTCACGAACACGCGTCACAGAACAGAGCAAGGCGAGCATTTGGGCTTATAACTTAAACTTTGTTATTTATTAATTAAATGAGCGATCGTTTCGCTTGATTCATCGTCTGGAATCGTTTAAAGCCCTTTGAAGCTGCACTGAAACTCTCATTTTGACCTTGAACTGTTTGGTTCCCATTGAAGTCCATTATATGGAGAAAATCCTGGAATGTTTTCATCAAAAACCTTAATTTCTTTTCGACTGAACGTGGACATCTTGGATGACATGAGGGTGAGTAAATTATCAGCCAAGGTTTTTTAAAAGTGAACTACTCCTTTAAGAAGGATTCAAGTACATCTTTAATTGTATCATAATTACTTCTGTAGTCATCGAAATGGTTAAATGGCATTAACTAAAATGACTTGGATGTCATTTCTATTGCAATGCCTATATATTTATACACTAATTACACATTTGTAATGATGATGTTGCAATTTATTTGATTGTAATTTATTAACTTTAAATCTAATAATAAATAACACATTGCAGTTATAATTATAAGTACTTTACATTTGCTTTAGTATGTCAGTCAACACATTAAAATAAAAAATGAATGTACTTCTTTCATTTTTATTAAAACAATGATTTCAAATGTACTTTATAACATTTTTACAAAGTGTACTTGAGAGTCAAAGGCTGCATCCGAAATAGCTTAGAACAGGGTTCCTCAATAGGCGGCCCGCGGGCCACATCCGGCCCGCGAAAGGAAAATGTTTGGCCCGCGCTCATTTCCAGGTTGTCATGGTAACATCAATGTAAGCAAAAATTCAAACGCAGTATCTAGGCATTCGCGCGCAACAGAAATATGGCAAGTGTGAAGAAAAGAAAAGTGGACACAGAAAACAGACGATTCAAATCTGAATGGACTGAACAATTTTGTTTTATTTTGCCTGACCACCACAACGCAAAGCCAACGTGTTTGCTATGCACGCAGACCGTGGCTGTCTGTAAGTCTGACAATATCAAACGCCATTTTAACTCATTGCACAGCAATTTTAACAGCAATTTTCCTGAACATTCTGAGAGTCGCAAACAGAAGGTATCACAATTGGCAGCAGCTTACAAGCAGTCAGTTGCTGTTATTCATAAAACTACATCCATTCAGGAGAATGCCACCGCAGCATCCTTACGTGTGGCTTGGAATCTGGCAAAGGCCAAAAAGCCGTTCTCGGATGGCGAATTAATTAAAACCTGTGCGATTGACATGGTGGAAGAAGTTTTAAACCACGATGAGAAAACGAAGAAAATGGTTGTGGAACTATTACAGAAGGTGCCGTTATCTGATTGCACGGCAACAAGAAGAGTAGAAACACTGGCGGGTGAGTGTCTGTCCAATCTTTTATCCGACATAAAGAAAGCTGAAGTCATGTCACTTGCAATAGACTCGTCTTGCGACCGAACCGACATTGAACAGCTGTCAGTGTTCGTCAGATTTTTTGATGGAAAGGTTTTCCGCGAAGAGCTGCTTTGTTTGTTGCCAATACAAGGACGCGCAACCGGAGAAATAATTTTTAACGAACTGATGCAATTCTTTGAAACGAATGGATTAGATTTAAGCAAAGTTGTGTCAGTTGTCACTGTCGGGGCTCCGTCAATGGTTGGACATCACAGAGGCCTGATAAGCAGGTTAGCTGCTGTCAATCCAAATCTCATATTATTTCACTGCATTATTCATAAATCTGTGTTATGCGCCAAATTGTCTGGAAAAATGAAAGAGACAATGGATACTGTGATGAGGCTGGTAAACTTTATTCGCGCGAGTTCTGGTCTGCAACATCGCCTTTTCCGAGCCTTGCTGGAGGAAATGTCTGCAGAACGGCATGATCTTTTGCTGCACAATGATGTCCGATGGCTGAGCAAGCGTCGTGTGCTGGAAAGAGTGTGTGAACTTCAAAATGAACTTTGTACATTTTTAAGCAGCCTTCAAAGCCAAAAGGCAGAGACATTTCTGAGTTTTTTGAAAGACAACACAGAGATGGCATTCGTGCATTTTTTGTGCGATATCATGTCTCACCTGAATCAGCTTAATTTGCAATTGCAAGGCAAGAACCACACTATTGCTGACATGTACGAAGCGGTTGAAGCTTTTCGTTTAAAGCTGACGCTTTTTGAGCGGGATCTTCAAGGGAGAAAGCTGCACTTTCCGTATTTACAACAGCATTGCGAGCGACACCAGGTGCCAGAGGACCCGTTAATGCGCGACTTTGTGATGAGACTGGCAGATAATTTCAAAGAGCGATTTCAGAGCTTTAACCTGTCAAGTGAACTCCTTCTCTTCCTAAGACAGCCATTTTCAGTCCCAGCAGATGGACAATGGACTGCTGAGGCCAAACGCCTGGTTTCCTCTTTAGATGAAGCATCTTTGCAGCTGGAGATTTTGGAAATGTCAAAGTCTGATTTGATCAGAGAGCAACACAAGGAGGCTAGTGTGAGCGACTTTTGGACAAAAGTGGTTTCTCAAGCTAAGTTCAAGAACAGCAGGATTATTGCAATGTTCCTTCTTTCAATATTTCCATCCACTTACATCTGTGAGTCTTCGTTTTCTATAATGAACATAATCAAGAACCAGGATAGAAACAGACTGTCCAGTGTGCATCTTGATCAGTGTCTCAGAATTGCTACAACAGAATACAGCCCTAACATCAGAGGCATTGCTTCAGCCTCTCGTTGTCACTTCTCTCATTGAATGGTGAGTACATGACAGTTAATAGTTTGATCCAAGTAAGAACTATAAAATATTAAGGCTGATAGGTCTAATAATTTAATCTGCTATTAGGGAAATTGATGAGAAGAGATCCAGTGTTGTGATGAGCAGGATGATCCAGGATCAGTCGACTCCCATGCAGACATGGAGATCCAGAGTTGTTGTTAATTTGTTTTTAATATCCACCATGCAAAGTTCTTAAGTTTTCTGTATCTGAATACATCTGCTCAAAATTTCTTGAATAAAACAGACTCGTTAAAAAAAGAAAATAATAAATACAAATAAATAAAATCAGAATAATTGGGCTATGTGGTGATTTGTGACTATTTTTAAGAAAACAACAACAACAAAAATAGCAGAGCAAACATTGAGGTCATAACATTGTGGTTGGTGGCCCTTGGCTCTGTATTGTCAGCAGAATTTGGCCCTTGGTAAAAATTAATTGAGGAACCCTGGCTTAGAAGTATGTCCGAATTCATTACTTTTTCAAACCTGTATGTGATTTCGTCTTCCATAGTCAAGTATTTCATTAATATTCTATAATCTGAATCAAAGTAAGTCTGATCTTTAAAAAAAGCACAGTACACATCTCTTCAACACAAGCAACACGACATCATGTCCATCAAACACTGCAGGATGCAAACGCCACTAAGAAGTCATAAATCATGTGCACCTTGCAAAATACGACAGTTTATCTCTTGTAATGTTTTTGCACCTTTTATAAGTATAAATGAAGACAACTGCAAAGTGTTGCAACACAAGCAGCGTCAACACAGGAACAGATCCAAAGCCTAAGGTTACGTCTGCTCCGAGATAACTTGTTCACGCAAGCCGCAGCATTGAAGGTATAGCACATTTTCTTATTAATTTGCCTTATCAGTGGGTACAATGTTGATTTTTCATTTGCTTGCCATGCCTTTGGGTGGTACACCCGTGCAATCACAAAGTTCATTTTTCTCTGTTTGATTAATTTCTTTCCTCTGTCAAAAAAAAAGACATAGGCAACATTCTATCAAGAGAGTCCCTTTCCCTTCCAGCTGTACCTACTTTGATATTTGCATATATTTTTTTTCATCAATCGGAGGGCATGAGGAGTAACACCCACCTGAAAGAAATGAATCAAAAGCGTTTTTCACCTTTGATATTAAAATATTCTGGCTTCCATGTTTACAGGGGTGAAAACTGTACATTCGGTGAGAGAGTCTCTGTGTGCAAATGAGCTTTTTTTTATTCTAAAACATGTTAAAGGTTTTCATTTAGGGTTAGGTTTTTAGTAAAGTGTCTGTGAGAGAGACAGAGAGCTGTGATGTTGTGATCTGGGTGAGTAAACCCTTTCTTTTCATTAGCTTTATGAATGGCCCTTTTGTAGGAGGGCAGAAGTGACTGTGTGTATGAAAGGAATCAAGACACACACGTAATGAAAGGAGACGTGCTGAACAAGGTTGTAGCAAAAACAAAAACGTTCAGCCTTCCCCAAAGGACAATGTTAAATAAAAGTGCACAGCAGATGATTTAATCTTTGAATAATTTATTGGCAAATCTTTAACATAGTACTAGGTGAAACTATAGACTTTAGAGTTATACAGCTTATAGATTTTCAAGGTAAATAATAAACAGTAAATTACAATAATATCATTCAGTGTAAACCCTAACAGTCAAAATAATTAATCGGTTTGAGTAGGACGAACTTAAATTCAACGAATTAGTTCAGTCAAATTAATTTTTATGAGTATTTATCACTTTCTTTTTCTTTCAAGTTCACAGAACTGATATATTTTAAGTGAACTGAACTGTTTCATTGTTTTGAGTTTTATGAAATTATTTATTTTAATTTAGACGAAC